CAAAAGTAAGAGGTAATAGGATTTTGTTTATACCATTGAGCACTCGCGAATAAATCAGATTCAATTATGTCATTACATCTTTAAGATTTCAACAGTTTCATTAAATGACACTCAGAATGTATTATCTTTTTGCAATATGTAGGCCTCTGCAGTAAATATACAGGTAGTAAAACTGGAACATGTAAAAGATGAACTTACAAGAAATATATAATGGTATACAGAGCACAAGAAGCTACTGAAGGTTAATGAAGGCCATCTATGAATCGGACTCGTAGTTGTGCCACACACTGTGGAGTGGGGAGATTAGTGTGAGCACATAGACTGCATTAGCTGGTTAACAGTAGACAAAATATATAAATCTATTTTCACCTGTATATAAGCACTTAAGTTTTTATTAAAGACCTTTTCATCCTTATAACATTTTATTTTTTAGATCTGTTTTGACTTATCTTTGTCTTTATGTACTCTGTATGTATTTTCTTCTTTATAGAAGTTTAACTCTGGGAGGCAAAAGGCTTTGACGTTCAGCTTTCTACCATCTTGTCCTAAATATCACAAAGAAATCTGAAAGTCAAATGTGTGGAAACCTTATTTCCAATCTTCCTGCTGCGCAACACACTTAACTCAATGGCATAAACAGCGTAACTGCGGGCTGCGGTCTGATTTCCACTCTGGGATTGCACAAGCTACCAAACTGCACACAATGCCTCTCCTTTAATTTAGTTGGAAAAGGAATTTCTCAACACTGAGGTGATATGGGGTCAGACTCCAGTTCTGCTGGTGTATAATGGCAGGCAAACACCACCCAGGTGTGAGCTGTACAGTGGTGGATGTAGTGGGACCCAAACAGAATAGTAAGAGCTTTGAAATCCTTTGGTAGGAGAAGCATTATATTTAGTTATGGGAATTGTCACTTAATTATTAAAATGCACTGAGCAAACTACAGGCTCTCAAACCAGTAAAAATGTAAGTTACCACTCTAGAAAGATTTTTCTACAGAAACTGCAACGCTATTTCTAAATCTGAGGTTGCTCATCTCAGTGCACAGTTAACACTGCCCAGATAAACTGACGAAGCTCCCGACTTTTTAAACATTTTACCGTCCGATTCTACAGCACACCTGACGTTTCCACAGCCCACGGTTCAGAAAGCACAGAGGGTGATGCGTCTGAAAATAATTTATCAAAAACAGAGAAAAGATCCATGGAGAGGAAGAAAAAAGTATCAGTGTACCACAAACATATCAGTTCCGTTCTTGTGACCAGTTTAAAAAAAAATTACATCAACACTACAGGTT